GACTGAGGTCTGAAATTTTATTTTGTGACTGGCTGGCTGGCTGGCTGATTGCCTCGAAAAGAGAAAATTTCAGCCGAAAGAGACGGAGTCGTGTAGTCAGACAGAAACAGAAACAGAAAAAGAGCTGAGAGTGGGTGATCGTCGAACAAGTTGTTTTTACTTGGCTTTTGGGTGCGAACTATACTCTGTTTTGATTTCTTGTTATTTGTACTTTTACATCTTTGGCTTTTCGCATTTTGGCAATGATTTGCTAGGTATTTTTCGAGGAAATCTCGGTTAGAAATTCCCCTCTCGAGCAGTCGCATTATTGTTTATATTTACCATTTATTTATTTGTACGTCTACTTTGTTTTATTTACTCGATATCTGAGCAAGCAGAAATCATCTCAAATTGATTCGAAATCGACACGTGCGTTTAAATGGGAAAAATCTATTAACATGTTTTTTCCGCGTTGTTTTTTCATATTCTTTCTTCCTTTCAATCTAATTGATTTGCGTATTTGTTTATCAGATGGTCTTTGGTACGCTTTCGCATTTGCAGGAAATGCCAAAGTGGAGCGAAAATAAGCAAAAGACTTTTGGTATAAATATGTATGCCTTGAACTGATGTACTTGTATCTGTATTTATCAGATACTCTGAACAAGTTGGCCAAAAGAAGGTCGTTTATTATTTAACTGGTTATGCAATTTATTTCAGCTAATTCATCATCTTTTCATTCACATTAATCTGTCGCATCCTTCAGCTACTTTCGCTATTCAGGTCAGAAAATTACTCACTAAAGTGTGCCAGTTTCTTTTGATCGTATTGAAAGAAATGTTTAAGTTAATCACAACTTTGTCAGGTGTCAGGTCCTTCAGGTGACTCATGTCCATTCAGCAAAACCAAAACATGAGCATGTGAGCTTTTCATTCTTTCCCAACTACAGTGAGCGCTCGAGGTAACGCACACTGTGTTGTGTAAACTTGTTGACATGAACAAATCCAGTAGCTATAGACAATATTGGCTAGATGTCATTATAAATAAATAAATATACAGGCAGTTTGAAAATAAATAAATTGAAAACCGAGATACTGGCAATGGAAATAATATCATTGAAAACACAGCGATACAGCAGTTACCATCCTAAGGTATCTATGTTCTACATCAACAAATATTTCTTTGGGTAAGTGAATAGTGTAAATATTGGCAAATTGGCTTAAAGAAAGCTATGTGACAGCAAATAATAATGTGTCTTATATCATTCCTCGTTTATAACGTTCACTTTAAGAAACCTCTACTGTACTCTTAATTTCTTCGCCACGTACATACTTGTATCTACTCGTGTATCTACGTATGAATGAATTGGCTTTCGCCTAAAACATCTCTGAGTCATCCAAAAGCCGTGCTTGGATCTCCAATAGCAACTTGTGCCGATCGAGTTGCAATGAAGAAGTTTTTAGCTGTGAGTCATCACCGTGGGAGCTTAATATCTTTTGCTGCATCCGCACCAAATACGTAACTTTCAAGCCTATGGCTACACCTTTTCCCAAAATGTGAGATACCACGCCCGATTCTTCAAGACTTCAGCTTCGGGCTTATCGTTGAATTTTTCTCAATTGGAATTTTCATGCGTAATTGATTTTTATGCATTTTCCTATCGGCATCCGAGAGATTGTTTATTTATTTATATGCAAAGCGTGCTTAACACGTTTTTCTCCTTACCCTTGGTTGCACTCGACTTTTGTGATTTATTTGTGTCTGGAAATTGGGTCACTTGGGAGTCGGAAGGGGACTACAATTCCCTGGAATATCACATTTAATCGAATGCCAGCGAGAATTGGTTTCTGCCTTTTTGGACTGAGGTAATTTATGGGTCAGACTGGGTTTTTCCCTGATCAAAATGATGACTTTGGAACAGATTAAATTTTTATTTAGTGGTTGATTGCGTTTTTAATAGTTTCCCATTGTATGCTGAACGCAAGTAATCGTAAGTATCTCGATATGAAGCACATAGTGCTTCTACCTAACATAAAATCACTCAACATGTATTTCTTCCACATATTTGTACATTTTCTGAGATTTTCGAAACATTTGATATTCCAAACCCTTTGGTAATAAGCTATTCACGGATATTATTGAACATTATTTGCGTGAATACTGACTAGAGTCAATAAACAGAATCTATTTGCCGATGCGCTTGCGTCATTTACATTTTACACTTGTTATCAAACAAGCTCTAAAGACCCTTGGCCAATGCCTTCCCTAATGCCCTCATCAGACCCACAGACTCGCATTATTGTTTACAATTTCAATTAGATGATGGTCATAAATTATGGCGGCTAATCCCGATCGCGACACCTAACAAGCATCCGCATTTTCACACACCTGAAATGCTAATGACACACCACCTGAAGCCAAAACTGAAACCGAAACCAACAACGAAACCACTTCGACAATTTGTTTTGATTTTGGCCGTGAACTGAGTAGCATATCGGAATAATTCAAGTTTGTCTTTTGTTTTTACTCTGGCAACCACATCTAGTTCCATTGCTATTCAAATCCGAGAGATACAAGCAAACACAAATGACATAATTGAGGTATTTGAGGTATTTGAGGTAGTTGAGTGGAACTAACCTTGACAGTGGGCATTAGTGGTGCATTAACTTTCATGCTGGAATCGAGATCAGATCGCTTGGTTAGCTCCCGAAAGGTTTGCTCTACGGTGGCAATGCTGGGGTTATCCAAAGTTTTTTTAATAGTATTTTTGGGGTTATCTCTCAGTGATAAACGGCGTATGCTTGCAAGACGAAATGTGCCTCTACCATCACCGGAACCACTCGATTTGGTTCGAATTCGATTTGATTTATGACCACTGCGAGGAGGGCTCTTATCGTTCCGAGTTTCCCGGCTATATTGCTGCTCTTCCTGGTGGGTAATACTCAATGTTGTTTTCTTGCACCACAAGCCGCTCAAACGATTGCCCATGCTATACGGTTTTTCACATCAACTTTCCGCGGGTGTTCAGCACGATCTAACGCTCGAGCAATTATTCTCGCGGATTTACAAAGATTCTCGTGTAGAACTCGGATACGAACGGAATAGGAATCGGAGACGAACCGGTGCGCATCTCAATTCGACAAATACTGAAAATGGAATTCTTGCCGAAAACCACAAAATGCCAGACCCAAAACACAGTTGTCCGTCAGTTTATAAGTAGCTTTTTGTGCCCCTCTCTTTTGCCTTTTTTCCCGCCAGTGTTTGCCGCTTTTTGGGGAGCTTTATAATGCGAACAGAACACAAGTTGACTTTGTTTGTATTTCGACTGGCACTATATGTATATGCCCCTCGGTCCCCAAAAACATCGGGTCTCCCCGTACTAATCGATTTTTCTCTCAACGGCACAGCACAACACTCACTGGGGCTCTCTCCTCGGAAAGAAGATTCCCCGACAAACCCAAACCCGCCAGCTAATTAATATGCTCGGGCGCTGTCATACACCCAACTTCATATAATATTAACAACAATCTTCTGCGACTCACGTTCCCAGTGTGTTTGAAGAGCTTGAAGAGCTCGAAGAGCTTGTCAAATAGTTCAGAACGGAGGGGAGAACGAAATTAATTGATCTGCAGTTGGGAAATGGCGATGGGAATACCCTAACTAATAGAAAGTATCATATAGAAATTATGAAAATACTTATGGTCACAAAATACCTTTTATTAATATTAAGTTCCCAAGGCAATTGAATGTTTTTTGTTCAATCTTGTGAGTTACAATCAAAACTTCAAAGTCAGCTGGTCATCTTATCAACTAAGGTGTAAGTGTAATGCCCTCCACTATATGGGTCATCTGTTCCCTTCTTAATTAAAAGGTTGTCGGCCCATCTAATCGCACGATGGGTGAACACGAATAGTTCTTTGTTCCCCATTGATTACCACTACGATTACTGCACTTAATCAGTTGCTCAGCTTAAAGGGTGATAGAACCATAAAGTTATCAAGCAACAAAACGACCAAGCAATCCAGTATACCTTTGGAAGGGCATTAGCAAACGAGAAATGTGCTTAACGACGCACGAGCCATGCTAAAAATCAACGCCAAATGCCGATTATTCATACCCGGTATAGCCATCCAATATTGTGGTTATAGCGCTATATACTGAGTGGGCTCGTTGGCCACGATTCTTTCCCCTTTTTCCTTCGAGCTCCCCCTTTCTAGTTCTGTTTTGAAAACGTGCTAAATGTTATTTATTAATTAAGTTGACGCTATTTTCTACCCATTTACGTAAAGCAACGCAGAGCGGGAGAGAGTTATTTCTGCTCAAAGCCGGTTTTAGGAAAGTCGCCAACTCAGGGAGTGGTTCCAGACCCCAATCCCCAAGAGTTCCCCAATCCAGACGGAGTCGCGTGTGAGGTGTGAGTTATATATTTGCTTAAATATGGCACTGTAAAGCTCATCGTGGTTTGTAGTTACTTATAGAGTGCACCCAAACAAGACATTTCATTGAATAATGAATCGATTCGTATCCATAAATAATAATATTCTTGATTTTAGAGAGAAGCCCCTGAAACATTGCGCTTTATAGTTCCCAACTAGTTCTGGCAACTGACAACAAAACGATTAACATTGAAGAAATATTGGTTTTACGCACATTTACGTCAAATTACTGCTAATACTGCAGTATTGTATTTCTCAGGCACAAGGCAGCACTTTTGTTTCAAGTGTATGCAAAACAATAATCAAAATGAGCCTAAAAAGCGGCTCAGGGGTTGTAAAAGGTAACGAATGAGGGATAACAAAAGCTTGAGTGAGAGTTTATGGACACCATAAAACCAGAGAACAGCTCCAAGTGAGTCATGACCTTTGCTCCCACTGAATGTTTATAAATAGCCATCGGCAATTATTACGAGTGGGAATTTGTAAAGTCAAAGAGCAGACCAAAGTCTCGGCAATCAGGCACTCTTGCTACCCTATATGTATCTTCTCTTTGTTATCTTAATCTAGGCAATTTTAAAAACTACTTACATTGCCGTAACTTCTGATGCTCGAAGGACTGAGGCTAAACAACCTGCCCAGCTGGTGGTGATGTGTTGGTGAACCATTGCTGTTAGCTGATGATAAGTCGGTGAACATAGGCGACTGGCAGTGCTCTATTGAAGAAAGAAGTTTAATTCGAAATAGTTACTAATAAATAGGGGCGAATCTTAAAGAATACTCAGCACTTACCACTCATCACAGGCGACATGTCCTTGGGAAAGGCGAACAGATCGTTGTTGTTCCGGATGTCCGATGAGTTCAAGGTCAGGCTGGGCTTGCGCACGCCCAGAAAGTTGGATGCTGATGAGGCACTGGAACAGCCACTGCCATAGCCCAGCCGGGAGTGGGCGGTGGTGGGCGTGACATTGGGCAGATGATGCGATTCCAGTGGCGAGGCGGACTTCGGTATGCCACTGCAGGCACCGCTGACCGCTGGAACGCGCTTCAAAATCGGTGCAGGTGGCAGTTGCGAGGGGGAGGGTCGGAAGAGCCCCACACCCGTTGGGTGGTTCAGTGGGTCACCGGGTTGCGGCTTCGGTATTGCCAAGCGAAGAGTTTGCCGCGCAGCTAGCCTTCTTCCAGGCGCGTATTTATTTCCAGGCGTCGCTGTTTGGTCAGCGCTCTCAGCGTGGTGAGATTGCGCAGTGGTAGGCGCCAGCTGTGGTGAGTTCATTATTTGATTTGCTTTTGTTTTTATCGCTGCTTTTATTTCTGAAGATACTTTTTGCTTTTGTTTATAGCTTTTGAATATTTTGTTGTAAAATGTTTTTTTTTTTTTGTGGTATAAATTATTGCTGAGATTATGTTCTCATAAAATTCAATTTTGTGAATGTAAATGATACAAAGTTGTTTTTTTTCCAAGTTTTTACACGTTTGTTTCTACAGTTTATTACGACATCCGTAACAATTTATTTTGGTTTATTTGTTGTTCAACATCGGTGTGTTTAAACGTTTCTTTATTGCTACTCCGCTAGGCACTTCTTAATTTATAGCCCTTGTTGTCAACGTTTTTTATCAATGAATTGCCCGTTGATATTGCTATGTGCGTTCACGGGAACTGCAGCGATTGCACAATTATATATGCAGAAGCGAAAGCAAATAAAGTATTATAAATTAAGTTACGTGGTTGTTCATATTGCAGTTTCTTGGAACGTGCCAATGCTGGTTTAATTTACACTCTTCCAAGTGACCCAGTTGCAGTCAATACCATATATGTAATTATTTCTTAGAGATGATAAAGGTACGCAGGATTATTTCATGCGGAAATGGTTATCTTCCAAGTTTCCAGTTGGGTCACACACTTCTCCCCTGCACTTTAACAAAGCATTTTCATTTTCTACAGCTGAACTTCGGAATTGCTACGTGGTGGTCGGGCAAATGTGAAATCTCCGACAATGAGAAATCACCGTCCAATTTTCGTGACTTTGCGTGGGACCGGCGACCATAAAAGCCACACGCCAATTAATTCTCTGGTTAATCTGTAATAAATATATACACACATATGGTCATCAGTATATAGACATAGCGAAATTCGTTTTAGCTAAATTACTTGGAAACGTGAATGAATTCTAGACTTTATTTGTCTAGAATATTGTGGGTTGAAAGATCGCTTGAATTAAGATTGCCCCTGAACTCGGTAAATAGAACATGAGCACACAGTCGAGTATAATATAGAAAAATACACGTTGAAGATTTGTTTATGGTTATGCTGCCAGCATAATCACGTAACAAATTACAAAGGTATCTTAAACCAAGGAAAAGGATATACATAGTTGATGAAAATATCAGGTAAATTGGAACACATTCATCCCTGAAATTTATTGGCAATTTATCAATTACTGAATCGTTAACCCCATGAGCAATTGCAGTCGGCAACTGCAGTGTTAAGGCCCATCCGACAACTAATTAGCAACAATGTCAGATGGAGTGCACACACTGATTGATTGCCAAACGATTGGCACGAAATAGTAAAGAGTTTTGTTGGGTTTTCGGTCCCAGGGGTTGCCAGCAATTAGTGGGGTTCCAAATCCAACTTCAGAGTCGTAGAGCGATTTGCATATGACAGGGAGATACTTGAAAACCAACAGACAGTCAGATTGAAAAAATCCAAAATTCAAATTGTGAAAAGCCGTTGGCCTCTGGTTTGCCATAAAGAGCTGCTGCAAATTTCTTGCATATTTGCGCACGGATTTACAATAAATTGCAATTATGCAAATTGAGCGAGTCGAATGTTTTCGGAGCCGTAGCTCTTCAAACGAACTCCAAAAGATGCCAGACATTAATCATGGCCAGCAATTAGCAATTATTTATATTGATGGGGCGTGTCAATATCTGGCCAATGATAAATGGTTTTTTACATTTTTGTTTGTAACTACACACATCAACCCTGGCAAAAGTTCTCGTACTTAGTTGCTTTCGATTAAATTCTATGCCATTAATCGTTGGGTCAAGTTCAGTACTAAGTTGGCCTTGCTTTCTGAAGTGCCAAAAGGATAATGAAATTGTATGTAATATTAACTACAAGCATGGACATTCAGAGTGAGACTATGAAGTCATCTTCCAAGGATTCATCCCATTCCCATGATGCCAAACGCGGGTCCTTAAAAATAGCACCCTTACTAAAACCAGTGCACAACAGTATTTCCAACAGATTTGGATTGCAGTGGTTTATGATCAACGTGGACAACTTCGAGCCTCGTCGAAAGAGGAGATACTTCATCACACTGCCGAACTTCCCCACTGCACTGCCCAGTGTCATATCGAGCAATTTGCACCTCCTAAAGTACCCTAACTGGAGCGCCATATTCCTGGCCACAACGCAGCATAACTTCAATTACTATCGAGCCCATTTCCCAATGACATCCATCGTGAAATTTTCACCCAAGAGCGAGGCGACTTCCAAACAGGAATCTCGGAAGAAAAAGCTGCGAGGATTACTTTCGCCCAAGATAAACAAAGTAAAGGACCAAACGGCAATAAAGCTATGAAACGATTTATATATATAATATGTATATGTATAAAGGAACTTATTCTTTCAAATTGGGAAATAAATGAAGTAGGCTTTGTCCTTTCATTAAAGATCAAGTGTTTATATTTATAATAATGAAAGAGCTGTTCATCAATACTCTACAATCCTTCAACGAGTTAACAGAAGATGATCAGAAAAAGTGCAAGGAGCTGTTCGAAAGACCTCTCCACCCCAAAATGCAAGAACATAAATACATGAAGTTTACGCAGGAAATTCTCGATAACCACCCAAATGAAAGTCAGGAGAAGCCGTATTTCTTGACTTTCCAGACAATAACTTTGCACATCAGCTACAGCGCTTTAATATTTAGTCTGTGTGGCGTTTTCGAAAGTTTCCATTTAGTCATTTACGTCGGAGTTTTGGAAGATGAAAAAGTACAAGAGAAGGAGGTATTTATTAGTGATATTTTGAACAACTTAATAACAAACGAGTTGCCCAAGTTGAAAAGTTTTACTATGAAATTTGTTCTACTTCACAATAATGTGATCAATAGAAATGTGGTCAAGATTTTGTCAGACATGGAGCCCAGCATCTGCAGTCAGTTTTTATTTATTGCTGATTCGGGATATTGGAGATATGCATAATCCCTATGCTCAAAATACATGTTTTGAAATATTAAACACTTCCATATCCGCAGAAAATATAGAAGAAATATTCAACAAGTATAGGAAGATAGCTAACACCAAGAACCTTCAATATCTGGAACAGTTTCTAACGGACTTCTATAACCTATCCCGAGTACTACTGGCCGACAAAGTATCCATAACACTGCACCTTTGCACCTTGGATCGAGTGGATAATTTTGAAATTATAATCCACAACCACATGAAGGCCTTTAAGGAACACATAATAACCCGAAAATTGATCTTTCAACTCTTGAGGGCATTGATCATAATCTATGACCGCTGAAGCAGCCAGGGCATCGAACTAAAAATGAAATTTATTTGACAGCCAGATTATACAAACATGGGATTTGTTGGCAAACAAATTGCGTTTATTTTTTATTTTATTTATTCGTGGTAAAAAAATTTATTTTCGGTCGAAGATGTTTTGACAACCGATGCTTGCAAGTCAGGATGGCCGAGTGGTCTAAGGCGCTGCGTTCAGGTCGCAGTCTACTCTGTAGGCGTGGGTTCGAATCCCACTTCTGACAATTATTTTTTAGAATTTTAAAAAACTGAATTTAACAAGAATTTATTTTTTCGTTATATATAGCATATACGAACACATATTTTACTTTATTATTGTAAGCCTTTATGGTATTGCTGGGTGGAGTAAAAATCCGCATCATTTACGCCCTCCTGACAATTTGCCTTCAATAAAAAGTTGAAGCCACTATCTTGTTGTTGTATAGTGGTGCTCCATTCACATGATATTGGGTAATCAGAAGGGGCATTAAAGTGCATTAGGTGTGCCGCAAACCAGCTTATCACGGCCCGAACATGACTGCGCTGCAAAGTCATTCATCAAACGTTTGACCGTGAGCAAATGGTTTGTTTGGCTATTAATGAAAGAGCGCCAGCTTCAGGTTTACGACCACAGGGATCCCCCCTCCCAGGTCAGATAAGCACTCAAATCAAAACTGCAATGAAAGCCAACCCGTCCAGACCTTGTACGAGAAATGGCGCTGATTCCCGTTTTGAATTTGTTGACGCAGTGGGTTTCGCGATATTCTCTTGCATATAGTAACCACAGAACTGACCCAGCCAAATGGCATTGAGCTCCTGCCCTGGAAATCAGAATCAGAGTCGAAATCAGAATCCAATCCAACTGTGTCAGCTTCGACTTGCGTTGTTTACAAACAAATAAGGCAAAGAGAAATGCAAGCTTAACAGCACTTCGTACGTACTAAATGGTGTCAGTTTTATATTACCCTCAGCCAATTCGGATGCCCCCACCTTTCTACAATGCTATAATGTTGTCATGCCTGTGGGTATATTTTTCCGCAGTTTAATGGTTTTTTGATGCATTCTAAATTAATAAAAATTGCGTGCGCAATTGTTGCTCGACTTGAGCAGTGCTGCTGACCCATTTCGATGATTATAAATGAGTATAACTTATCAAGCGAGACTTGCCTTGGAACTAAACTGGGTTTTAGCTGTTTGTTTGCCTCTTTTTCCGGCACCAGCACTTCGAATGCTCTGTAATTTGTTTATTTTAACTAGAAATAGGCAACAAGTTCAATGCAAAAATCATTTATCGACGCTTGTCAAAACATTCATCGATTTGATTTTACATTTTTCATTTCGATTTGGTTATTTTTGTGCGATAAACAAATAATTAGCGGGAAAATGAGCATATGCAAATTACGTCCATTCGCAAACTCAGACATCTGTCTGTGGCCATTTCTATCTGTACTATATGCGTATGAAGATGTCGGCATCAAGTCAAAGGAAAGCCATAAACAATGCCCGTCCATTCTTCGCCTGCAAATGTATTTTTCCGCGCAGTGTCAAAATCTAATTGGAATTTTTTCACTATGAACATCGAGCGGGGCGGAAAACTGTCGTCGAGTGCTGGCCAAACTCATTAAAATATCCATTTCCCCAACGAAAACGCGAACTACCGCGGCGTACAGCTTTGAGCAGTGGCAATAAATAATATAAAATATTAAAAGACAACAAAAGACGAACGCCGCTTAATGAGAAGGGTTCGGGCTCTCTTGTTTTTTTACCTCCAGTTCCGTTCCCAAGACGCGCCACGCCCCCTTGAACCGGATTATTATTAGCCAGTTCGCTTTTGGCTCGAATCGAGGAATGCTACGGGTCTTGACCTCTTTTCCAGTTACGCTTTTTGGGAAATCCGCAGAGATATAGGTATTCTGAAAGGCCTTGTTTTCTTTTGTTCGTTGGCGGCGATTGTCTGCGATTTGTACGCCAGCCCAACCCCGAAACCCAGAGATAAGATATATCTGTACGCAAGCGACTTTGTAAACAGTTGTCGGCATTTGTACAAAGTGCAACCGCAAAGCAGCTGATCGAATCGATTTAATGTGCAATTACTCCGTCACAAAATTGCACAGTTCTTGTTATTTAACTCTCGATTGGTTGTGTAATGCCAGCAAATTAACGTCCACAATTATAAGCAGCAAAATGTTGTTATATTTCCATGTTTCTCGGTTGTATTTCTCGTGAGAAAGTTAGTTAATTTGCATAAAAAACTCGCACAGTTAAAGCAGCGCGAGTTATGGCAGTTTTTTGTAAACCACTTTTTATAGCAGAACCACATGAAGGTCAAACGAATGAGCGAGCGCCATGGAAAACGCGCATTTGGTATGCTCATCTTATGTGTCAGGATGGCCGAGTGGTCTAAGGCGCTGCGTTCAGGTCGCAGTCTACTCTGTAGGCGTGGGTTCGAATCCCACTTCTGACAAGAATTTTTTTTTAACTTTTCTTGTTCAAAAGTATTAATTAGATTTAATTGTACGTAATTAGAAATTAAATAATTAACACTTCCGACAATCCATGGAATGCAGTAGCAATGTGGTCCGTTTTTATTATTGCTTCTTTAAATTTATTTGCATCCGAAAATAATGTTTTTAATTTACATAAAAACGAAATAATTACGATTTTCACACGCCATTTTCGGGTTCTCGTTACTTTCATAGTCAGGATGGCCGAGTGGTCTAAGGCGCTGCGTTCAGGTCGCAGTCTACTCTGTAGGCGTGGGTTCGAATCCCACTTCTGACAAAACCTTTTTTTCTACATTTTGTATTTATCCGTCTAATCAAATAGCTTATTTATTCAAGTTATTTTGGTCGGTTTTTAGTTGCCTTCGCCAAGAATAACAATTCGATTGCTTGAATCTAAATAAATGTGCGCGTGTGTTGGTGTACTGCTTAAGGCGTAAACAAAAACATGTGCAAAAGGCCAAAACTTCAATCAAGTGAAATGGAAATTGAAAATGTATAACGGAAAACCGTACGGGAATACGCAAATCAGATTGTTTGGCCAAGAGAGAAAGATCGCAGGCTGCGGGTCAGGCGGATAGACCATATGTATGCTTCCCGGAATTGCCAAAATTCCGCATTTGCGGCTCCATTGGGGCTCGTTGGTTTCAGACTATGTGGGTGTCATCTGTTTAGTTTTGTGGGAAAATAATTCGATTTTAATAAACTTTTTGCTTAAATTAATTGCAGCCTTTTCTCTACAATGGAGGGCGATAATCCATGGCGCCTTCGCCTCGTCTGTGTTTAACGCTTAAATTACTTGTTGTTTTACTCTTTTGTGGGTAATTTATTTGGCTGCCCTTTCATTGATTGACTTGACTTTTATGTGAGGTTTTTATAGGCGTTGCACACACTGACGTGTGTATGAGCAGAAAATCCAAAAAATCCCCAAAAATGTATACAGTTTCGGAGTTTATGACTCTGCAGAAAAACAGCCTTTATGTTCACTGAGTTACATACAAACACAGAATCTTAAGTGCACAGAAACAATTTTGTTTTGTTGAAAATCGTCTCTTTAGTTTATCTTAAAAAAAAAAAAAGCTTCCTTAGGATTTGTATTTTTATCATTTAATAAAATGAGGCATTAAATGAATTGAATAAATTTAAAAATGTTGATCTGTAAAGTTTTGTAATAGTTTTGATATCAGTGAATGACTAAATTCTTTATAATTTGGTTTGCGGTCATATAAAAGTCCATTTTTGGCAAGAATTGGTCAGCCTACAGAAATGTATACAAAACCGCGAGGGCGTACTATGAAATTAATAATAACATTTACCACAATGAATATTCCCCATATAAAAGAAACACTGTTTCAAGAAAATAGTAACTTATGTTCAATAAAAACTTCTTATAAAAACTAACATTGACCCATATATATCCCTTTACATTCTGTTACATACGGATGTTATACTTACAGAAAATGCAATTTGCGGGCGATTCAAGTGCGTTTCTCCAGCGATTTGTTGGCGTCTCGTGATAAACAACGGAAGGCGTAGCTTCTGGATGCGCGATAATCGGGGGCTGAGCACTACGTTTACCCGAAATTGTGGGATTTTGGTGTTTTTTTTTTTTGTTTTTAAAATTCCTGCAAGTCAATCAACCCGTCATTTTATGCCGTTGATATTTCATTTTTAGCGTATTCGCTTCTTTGCGTTTTTGCCTTTTGTTGCTGCTTCTCTTGTTGTTGTTGTGGTTTTTTCTGTTATTTCTGTTATTTATAGACGCACACATGGAAGCGCAGCCAAAATAAAAGCGCACGCACCAAACACAAACACACACACGCACACACACACTTGTCACAGACAGAATTTCGTAATTGCACGTCGCCGGTTGCCTGGCTGTTTCCTTCGAAACTAAAAATCTTCCTACATTACTAAACACACATTTTATAGCCCGCGTTTCGTTTTATTATTATAATCCGCAGCAGAATGTATGGAAAACACAAGCACACACCGCGACCTCCGCTTTTTCCCGCTCACAAGACGCGCGATGTTTACTGCGACGCTGCCGCCAGCCGAATGCAGGCGGAATGAAGCAGAAATGAGCTTAAAACGGCGAGAGAAGATCGTGGGCAGTGCTGCCGACCTAGCCTTTTCCCGTCAGATGTGGCTTTGTTCGCAGTGCGCTTGGATCTCATGAGAACATGTCCACACTAGCCACTTGTTGCAAATTTTTGATTTAAAAATATAAAAATATAATAAATTTATTATTAAAAATTTAATTATTATACCACATTATACCACAAAGCGTGTAAATGTATAATAAAGAGATATTATATCCGACGAAGCTGTCAGCACTGATCGCAGAATAGCTCTCAGAGAAACGAAGAGAGAGAGAGAGAGAGAGAGAGAGAGAGAGAGAAATAATTTGTTCTGTTTGTTTGCTTTAATTTCTTAATTTTTATGCGTGGGCGAGTGCTCTCTGGTTCTCCGTATCTTTTTCTCTAACTTTAAACCGCTGCACGTGCAATGCAAAACGTCAAAAATGAATAACAAAACCAATGCTATTAGTATAACATTTAAACGGACAGAGATAAACTTAACAATTTCTTCCTTTTCTTGATTTTTTAATGCGTTCATCCAGACAACATTAATTGAGTAATAAGTTGTACCTAAATAAATACTATGTTTTGAAAGATCGGCAGTACACTTAGATTTTAATAATGCGTGGGCTATGATTGGAACCTAAGTGTTTAAGAACGACAAATAGCATCTTTAATTAAGTGTGTTTCAGACAAGCAGTTGAACCGGCTTTTTCTACAACTTGTTTGCAGGTGCTTTCTTTGGACTTCACCCCCTGCAACTTCCCACCCAACTCGACATACATATATGCAAATTCGTATTTTTCTCCTCCCACTACAGACACGCCCCCACAATAATTTGTTTTATTGCGATCGTAAAAAACTGAGCAACAGAATGGGAAAAATACAGAAAATATGGTATTCGCCTGAGCCGCCAAAAGTCGAGACAATGAAACCTGTTAATTAACTTTGCTCAAATTTGGCAGAAAAGTATTGCGACAAAATAGCCAGGGCAAAAAGAAGAGTGAGCCACAATTGATTAATGCTCCACAGTCTTCAGTTTGTTTATACTCCTCCTTCATTTTATATGTGTATTTATTTTTTGGTCTTTTCTACCCGATTTGACTTTGAACTTGAAAAGGAGCATTGACTCTGTCAGTACGGAGTTGGATCAATAGAACTCTAATTGAAATATTATGGGCAGTTTCTGTAGGGGGATTCGGATATTAATTGAAGCATACTGAAGAGATTAGTCGATCAAATGTGGGATGGGTGATTATCATGTTTTTAAGAGTATTTCTGTATAAATGATTTGATTTATTAATAATTTTAGTTTAGTTCTTTACAATAATTGATTTATAAACCATTCGGTTTTTGAAAGCTACAACCTTAACGATTTATATTCCTGAAAGTTAGATTCATTTCAACTCAAAACCCCCATTTAAATATGAATGCAATTATATTAAAGAACCCGATAAATCAACGCAGCCATAAACGCGTGTCGTTTGGCTGTCCACTGTTGTGGAATAGCCATTTGTCACTTGGTATCACCGTGAATTAAACACTTTTCCCCGCCCACAAACGGCTGGTGTTAGAGCAGATTAAATCTTTGAAAACTAGACAATATCTTCATTAAATGATTTGCTCTAAAGAACTTATAGAATGACGGCCGAAGGTAATCGGGTGTTAGCCTAATCCAAACTCCATTTGCATTAGCTCGGTGCTGGAAACCCATTCAATGCCTCAGTTTAACCTTTGTGCGGCTGTGCTAACAACTCTGCTGACATATCATGGGGTTTTGGCCGGGAGGGGATTTTCCACGGTTGACCCACATACATAGCTCCCCAGAGTTCCGATATTCAGAATTCAGAATTGTTATGGTAATTTACAACCTCCAGTTAAATATTTCAGCTGCACCCTACTGTGCAGCACGCCGGGTTGCGCTTATTTATACTCGTATTTGTATTGTGATCGAGTTGACAGTAGCACAAATTTTGATTGATGACTCTTGATTGACATTCGGGCAATTTGCTAATTCTATTTCGAGTTGGCCACATGAAAATGTGTCGCCTTTAGTGGGTCACCGCGGTCCTCAAACAATTCTTATACGCGGCGATCATTAATCATAATGAGTCGAGTGCAATTGAGGTGGTCTTAGCAGTTTAGCAGCGGCTGCGTTGCTAACTAGCAAATTAATGCGAATTATGTACGCTGGGTGGCTGTTGGGAGCGAAAACTTTAATTAACTTGGGCTGTCAGGTCGAGTCGGCCGATTAACATACGCTCAGGCCTATCAAGTGTCTGCCATCAGTCTGTAAAAATGGAAAATATCCAGTCCGGTACGGGCACTCAAAGTCAAAGTGGAGCGGCTGCGTTGCGGCTCCAACTAATTGAAATGCATTGAAAGTGCGTGCGACCAGTAAATGCTGCATAAAAAAACAAACAAATACGACAGCAACAACAGCAACAATAACAGCTACTGCAGCTGCGTGTGAAATGTCAAGCGGTCCGCACTTTGGGCTAGTTGACATTTTGCCAGTTTGGCTAACCGAAAAACTACAACTTAATTACTCCTGTTTCGATCGTCAGCTTCCCCTCTACAACCCTTTCGATGAATATCGCCATTTTGCTGACTGCCATTTGTTGGGCAACAAATCGAAATATATAAAAAAAGTGACACTTGCCAATCTGCACATGTGTGATGTATGACGTTGACCCGATTTCGACCGCTTTTTATTATCATTTCCATCGCCTGCATGTTGATTTCGTGTCTTGTCTGTACGTACACACCTTTCCATGCCGCGACGAGCGGCAATTTGTCTTTGCCTCAGGGGTGCCGATTATAATAATTCATCGGGAGTGCATTCAAGCGTGGGCAGCAAGTTCAAAGTGTTATATGTGATTTTCAAACATTCGTAATACAAGGCGTATACTTGATCTTGCGGCACCACAATGCCAGCGAATCGGATTGGCCTTCTGCCACGCGAGCAGCAACTGTCAGGATGGCCGAGTGGTCTAAGGCGCTGCGTTCAGGTCGCAGTCTACTCTGTAGGCGTGGGTTCGAATCCCACTTCTGACAAGAACTTTTTGCCACTTTTTTATTTTTTTTGACCACAAAATTAAGAGCTTGAAAAGTGTCTTAGTCGAAATAATTATGTTTATAAAATTAAGACCAAACGCGCCCTTGATGAAACTAGAAATGGGCACTCGCTAGTTTAACAGTCAGGATGGCCGAGTGGTCTAAGGCGCTGCGTTCAGGTCGCAGTCTACTCTGTAGGCGTGGGTTCGAATCCCACTTCTGACAAATACTTTTTGTTCAGTTTCACTAGAAAACGATCAACTTTTTTCAGCAAACTTTTTGTAAACTCTCACAGTGATCACCAATCGTCTGGAGCATCCATTAGCTACTTTTAACGAGCCAGCGTCCCTCTCAGGGGCGCCATACAAATTACAAGTAAATCAATTTGTAACCGCCTAATTGTCAATATTCCAATCACATAATCGGCTGCCAGTCACCGGATTGCCCCCGGCTGACGGGCAGACCGACATGGCGATATAGCGAGACCACACAGGCGATGAAGCCTGGCCCCTTGGGAATTATCGCCGTCTGGCATCGCCGGCAAACACTTCTAGTTCCACATCGCCAGCTCGACTCATTCGGCTCAATCAGACAGAAATTAAAATGCTGACTGAGCGCGTTTTTGAATGCGGCCCACTCAGTAGTTCGTGCAGTAGTATTTACAATTGTTGGGTCTTGGGAAAAACAGATCAGGTCCATCTGTAATTATGCTGCTATTGTCGGTCGTAAAACGCAATCAACTGGCCACGACAATTGACAGTTTGGCTAGTGTAAAACTAGCCGTAAAATTTTATTTGCCTTAGCACTTGAGAAATTGAGGCTGGCCCGGCCATAACAGGCGAATGGGTCAATTGGCATGTGACAGCAAGAAGCTGCAAGTTGCAGGCTGCAATTTTCACAGACAATGCAAATGGACGTCTTGGAAATATGAGTGATGTGACAAGTGGATGCTTATCTGCGGCTCGACGCCCCTGTTTTTTTCGAGGGGCATGCCTCCTTTGGCTGATGAGCGCCCATTGAAATTTATGACTTCGTCGAATCGCCAATTGATTGGCTTTTAAATATCCAAGCGAAGGCTGCCAATCGCAAATTGTCCGGCCGTAATTAATGTACAAAAATCGTTTGAACGCACGCCCCAAAGCAACACCTGCAGATGTTGGTATGTATCTTTATTTATGGAAAGCTGTTAACACTTTTAATTAATTGTGGGATGGAAAAGTTGGCGGCTTAGCTACATATGTCGCGAATTTATGACACTAAAAATTGATAAGCGCAAATGCTGTCTAAATGCTAATTTCTATGAACACATTTAAAACTAGAGTTAATTGGCTTTCGAGCATTGCAAGCTAAATATATTATTTACAATCAATTAATTAAAAGGTGAGTAAACATCTAGTTATTTAGTAGTAGTTACCTAGTACACACAAAATTTGAGGCAACACATTTTTAAAAATATTTTATAGGATAAATAGTTTAAATAACTTTACTACAATGAAGTCATATAAAGAAAATTTGTGCATGGCTCTTGTACCAGTTTTTACTGTACTCGATTGAACGCTCAGCCTGATTCCGAATGGGTCAGAGCTTTCCGGTGAAGATCTCGTACGCATGGGCACAAAGCTCGCCAAAGCTGGAGAGAGACGCTCTCCAAACCGAGCTTCGCGCGATGCCTTCGCGTGACAATGGCGGAGCTTTCGACAGTCGGCGTCCACGAGTGACGTAGCGCAGTATACCTAGAATGCAGAACGTAATATAATCGTAATCCGAGCCGCATGGCCCGCTAATTAGAAGATAGAAGCCCTTTTCATTTAATCGTAGCTAGCTGAGATCACTTAAATTGGCGCCAACTGCATTCAAAGTTCCGCGACCGAAAGCTTTCACCTAGAGTTCTTACAGTGGGGTTATTCAACCCACTGCTGCCGGTCAGAGAAAAGGAGACTTTGTGACAGGTGAGTTC